GATTACAACATCCAGAAAGAGTCCACCCTGCACCTGGTCCTCCGTCTCAGGGGTGGCTATTAATTCTTCATCTGCATTCCCAGTGGGCAGTGGTGGCATTACTCTGCACTATGGCCATTTGTCCCAATTTAAGTTTAGAAATTACAAGTTTCAGTAATAGCTGAACCTGTTAAAAAATGTTAATAAAGGTTTTGTTGCATGGTAAGCATATATGGTGTCACTTGTGAAATTTCTGTGGTAGCTTGGGTGGGGGTGGACCTCAACTGGTTGTCTTTACCTTTACAGATTGGTATTGACTACAGTTTGCAGCACTTATTTAAGCTTATGAGTTGGGAATTGAGTTTAAAAGTTAATAACAGCTATAATACCAGTTTGCAACAATAGGGGGGTGGTTCCCATGCAGCCTTTGGGAAACAAACATACTTGTCTGAAGCTCATTTCAAAGGCTTTGGCGGGAAATAGCCAAAGTTTTGGTTGCTCTTGTGTTTGGTTGGTGGTGTGTTTGGGTACTTTGGGAGGGAGGAGGGTATGTTAGCTAATTACACTGAGATACATACATGGCTCCATTGCTTTGGTAAGGTACTGACTGGTTGGGATAATTCCCTTGGCTAGGAAGAACACCCTTATATTTTGAGCAGTAGTAAGTAGTGGGAAAGTTAAAAGCCTTCATAGTGAACACCTGTGGTGAAATCTGGTTTACATCCCCTCAATCCCCAAAGTTTTTAGAATATTCTTGAGATAGTCTAAATGACTGGCCTACAGTTCAGATCCATATACTTACCTAGCTTTAGCAATCACTTTGAAATAGAACTTAAAGGCTTACATCTTCGGGGTTCACCAAGAACTCAAACCCACCAATCCTGCCAAGCTACTTAGAAGTTAATGCTTTTGTAACAACTTTCCAGCTAGAGATTAAGGTTTGTAAAGTAAATGAAATCTTTACTTAATCCCAGCCCTGGGGAAGCAGAGAAAGGCCAGCCTAGTCTACGTATTGTGAGTTCCAGGGCTGAAAAAAATGCTGTCAGAAAAAGTCTAGTTGGAGTCAGGATCACATGACACCTGCAATCTTAATAATTAAATGCCAGCCTGATATATGAGCTCCTTTGTGTATAACATGCATTTCATCTGTAAACCTAAATTTTAAACATTAATGGATAGGTCTTTTCCATGTTTCCCTTTTTAATTTACTGGAGGGCAGATGTGTTATAGGGATCCAATGAAGTGGTCTGGCTTTGGCAAGCACTTAATCTGAGCTATCACCAGCCATTTTTGTCTTTACCAAAAACTATAATACAGACTGGTATTTGGAACTAATACTTTTAGAATAAACTCACTTCAAGTGGCATGGGGCGTTGTTGCCTAGAGGACAATCTAGTGTAACCCTGACTGACCTGGTGTGTATGTTTCCCAGTGTGATCTTGCCTAGGACTCTTTGAGTCAGCCATTCTATATACTACTGGCTGTCCTGAAATTCCCTATGTAGACAAAGCTGGCCTGTGAATTCACAGCACAGATAATACCTGCCTCTGCTTGCTGAGTGCTGAAATTAAAGACCTGCACCACCATACATGGCTCTGGCCAGGTAGTTTTTTTTTTAAATATTCATTTATTATGCATACAATATCTGCCTACATGTGTGCCTGCAGGCCAGAGAGGGCACCAGACCTCATTACTGATGGTTGTGAGCCACCATATGGTTGCTGGGAATTGAACTCAAGATGGCCAGGTAGTTTTTAAGAACTTTGCAGATCTCATGGAACTGCATACAAAATTGGAGTTTGAACAGGGAAAGGGCACTTACATGTTATCTATTAAATTTGAGTTTGTTGAGTGTAGTAAGTGACATCTATGATTGTACTTAGAGGCTGACAGGGTCACATAGGCATTCAAGGTCAGGGTGAGATATATAGTAAGACTTGCCCCAAATCTGCAGATTTTGTTTTGTTTTTTTTAAAGGCCACTGTAGTTTGTGGTCCCAGCATCTCTTTATTGCTGAAAGAGACGCCCATACAGCTTTGTGGAGAAATGTGACTAGGAGGTGGACCTTTGCTCTGAGATAGTGTAGCAAGAGGAGAGTTGACAAGGATTTCTTGGAGCTGGGCAAGGTGGTATGTACCTATAACCCCCAGCACCCTGAAGGCTAAGGTAATTCTGCTCCAGGCTATGCCGGACTGGGTCGTTTGAAGTATGACCTACATGGTGGATGGAGACAGACTCCCACAAGTTGTCCTCTAGCATACACATGTAAAAATAAATGTTAATGTAAAGCCTGAGGAGAAGTTGATTCCAGTGTCGGACTAGATGCTAAAGAATACATGGCTCTTCTTGATGCATGTATTTAATCCCAACACTGAAGCACAAGCAGTAAAACTCAGTGAGGCCATCCTTGTTAAATAGTAAACTCTGGGCCGGCCAGGGCTACGTACATGAGAGCCAGGCATTGTAGCACATGCCTTTATTCCCAGCATTTGGGAGACAAAGGCAGATGGATCTTTGTGAATTTGAAGCAAACCTGGTCTACAAAGTGAGACCCAGGACAGCCAGGGATAAGAGACCTTATCTAAAAACAAAAAACACAAAAACATGGGAAAGGCACTAAAGAAACAAAAAAGTGGCTTCAGTTTCCCTCATAGACCCATGAGTCCTGGTTGTTAATGAACAACTTACATAAGACTATAATCTCTGCCTTGAGATTGCTGAGTTCACAGAACAAACTGGTACGCCCTGTCATAACCTTGTTTCCCCTCTAAGAAAGTCAATAAAGGGGTAATGTTAGGTGTGTGTGTGTGTGTGTGTGTGTGTGTGTGTGTGTGTGTGTGTG